CCTAAGATTTTGCAAGAGCTCGCGCGTAAGCTTTTCTAGCAAATCAGGGCTACGAAACCCAATGTTTTTGTATGTTTTTTTGGGGGAAACCCGATTGCGAAACGGCAACGGAGGTTGTTGAAGGATTTCGGCATGCGCGCGCGACGACGCGCGCGTGCGCACTTCGTCTTTTTGTTGCAAGGGATTCGTGAACAAGTGTTATGTTAGAACAAAGAATGTCACCGCATAGTGTTTTTTTTTCCACGGGCCCACGGGAACCTCAGGAGGGGGGTTACCTGTTGGCCTGGGACATTGCGATTTCATATTTAGGATGGGCATGTGGTCAGAATCATCTGTGATTATCATACACGAAAGGTGACGTGATAACGCCGGGGGGGGATAGATCGTTTTCTGTTTTTAGAAACAAGAATATATGTTGTACACTATAAGTGGTGTGACCTGGTCGTGCAATATATGTCTCGCAACCCGTGTTGTGCAGTAAATATGGTGCCACCTGTGTGGAAAAGCTATTGTGGTGCAGTCTAGGTGGTGCAGCGTACGCGGTGCAATCTACGTCGTGCAATCTATGTGGTCAGATCTATGGTGTGCAATCCACTCTGCTGAACTCGAAGTCGTCATCTCCACTGCTCGCGCAAACATCCCACCCACCCACCCGCAACTTGGTTTGCAAAACCTCTTAAGACCGACTGCGACGACACCGACGACAACGACTACGACGACACCGACGACGACTTCGACGACGAAGACGACGACGCCGACGCCGACGACGACGAAGACAACGACGACGACGCCAGCGAAGGCGACGACGAGGGAGGAGGAAGGACGACGACGGCGACAACGACGACGGAAACGACCACGACGCCAAAGAGGACGACGACGACGAACACGAGGAAAGACGGAGGACGACGTAGGCGACGACGACGACGACAACGACGCCGGAGGAGGGAGGACGACGACGACGACGACGCACGAGCGCGCGCGCGCACGCTTTTGTTGAAAATCCGTGTTGCGAAACCTTGTGTTTTTGTAGGTTTTTTGGACACACGATTTTGAAATCTTTCCGAAACCTATGGGTTTTGAACGTTTTCGGCGTACGCGCGCGACGACGCGCGCGTCTGCACTTCGTCCCGTTTTTTTGCAGGGGATTCTCGCGGCGGCACACGCGCAAGGGCGTTCGACAGATTTCGACATGCGCGCGCGCGAAGCCCGTTTGGTAGCATTTTGTGACAATCTTGAAAACCATGGTTTTCTTAAGATTTCGCAAGAGCTTTCGCGGAAACTTTTTTAGCAAATCAGGATTTCGAAACCTAATGTTTTTGTATGTGTTTTGGAAACTCGATTGCGAAATCTCTCCGGCACCGAGGGTTTTTGAAGGATTTCGGCATGCGCGCGCGACGACGCGCGCGTGTGCACTTCGTCTTATTTATTGTAAGGGATTCGCGAAAAAGTGTAATGTTAGAACAAAAAATGTCACCGCATAGTGTTTTTTACAAGGGAACCTCAGGGGGGATACCGGTTTGGTTGGGATGATATGACTTAATATTTAGGATGGACGAGTGTGCATAATATATGTATATATATATATGAAACTATACTATCCCAGGGGGAAGCGTTAAGTCCGGGGGGTAGAGTCGATTCTCTTTTTAGAGAAGGAGAATCTGTGTGTTGCGATATAAGTGGCGTGATCTGCTTGTGAAATCTATGTGGTGGAACTAATTTCTGACCGTCTTGAAGCTGTCCTCTCCACTGCTCGTGCAAACATCCCACCCTCCCACCCGCAACTTGGTCGCAAGACCTCTTAAGACAAGACCGTGACGGTAGGTACCAGGTGGCACTTGGCCACGACACCGACGCCGACGACGACAGCGACAACGACGACGACGGCGCCGCCGACACCGACGACGACGACACCGACGACGTTTCCAACGACTTCGACGACGACAGCGACCACGACGACGACGACACCGACGACGACGACGACGACGACGACGACGACGACGACTACAACGACGACGACGCCGACGACGACGACGAAGACAGCGACGACGACGACGACGACAACGACGACGATGACGACGCCGACGACGACGACGTCTACAACGACGACGACGCCGACGACGACGACTACAACGACGACGACGCCGACGACGACGACGAAGACAACGACGACGACGACAACGACGTCGACAACGCCGACGACGACGACGAGGGAGGAGGGAGGACGACGACGGCGACAACGACGACAACGACGACAACGACGAGGGAGGAGGGAGGACGGCGACGACGCGAACGACGAAGAAGGAAGAAGGACGGCGACGCCGACGACGACAACGACGAGGGAGGAAGAAAGACGCCGACGATGCAAGAGCGCGCGCGCACGCTTTTGTTGAACATCCGTGTTGCGAAACCTTGGGTTTTTGTAGGTTTTTGGATACACGATTTGGGAATCCTTCCGAAACAGATGGGTTTTGAAGGATTTCGGCATGCGCGCGCGACGGCGCGCGCGTCCGCACTTCGTCCCATTTTTTTGAAAGGGATTCGTGATAAAGTGTTATGTTAGAACAACAAATGTCACCGCACAATCTTTTTTTTTGCAAGGGAACCTCAGGGGGGGAGATACCGACCGGCCTGGGATAGTGTAAATTCATATTTAGGATGGACCGGTGGTCAGAATCATATTTGATTTACATACCCGAAGGGGGGATTGATAACGCCCGGGGGGTGGGGTAGATCCTATTTTGTTTTTAGCGAGGAGAATCCACTTGCCGAACTTCAAGTTGACAACTCCACTGCTCGCGCAATCATCCCACCCACCCGCAACTTGATTTGCAAAATCTCTTGAGATCGTGACGGTGGGTACCAAGTGACACTTGGCAACGACAGCGACGCCGAAGACGACACCGACAACGACGACGACGACGCCGCCGACAACGACTACGACGACACCGACGACGTCTCCAACGACTTCGACGACGCCGACAACAACGACGACGACACAGACGACGACGACGACGCCGACGCCGACGACGACGACGACGATGACAACGACGACGACGATGACGACGCCGACGACGACGACAACGACGACACCGACGACGACGACGTCAACGACGCCGACGACGACGACGACGACGACGACGGCGGCGACGACAACGACGACGACGTCGACGACGACGAAGACGACGCCGACGCCGACGCCGACGACGACGACGAAGACGACGACGACGTCGCCAACGAAGACGACGACGAGGGAGGAGGGAGGACGACGACGGCGACAACGACGACAACGACGCTAACGACGAGGGAGCAGGGAGGACGGCGACGACGCGAACGACGAAGAAGGAGGAAGGACGGCGACGCCGACGACGACAACGACGAGGGAGGAGGGAAGACGACGACGACGACGACAACGACGACGACGACGACGTCGACGAAATAGGAGGGACGACGACGAGCCGCCGACGACGGACGACGCCGACGACAAGGGAGGAGGAGGAGGAAGGACGACCACGGCGACAACGACGACGGAAACGACCACTACGCCAAAGAGGACGACGACGACGACGAACACGAGGAAGGCCGAGGACGACGTAGGCGACGACGACGACGACGCGGGAGGAGGGAGGACGGCGACGACGACGACGACGACGACGACGACGCAAGAGCGCGCGCGCACGCTCTTGTTGAACATCCGTGTTGCGAAACCTTGTGTTTTTGTAGGTTTTTTGGACACGCGATTTGAAATCCTTCCGAAACCGATGGGTTTTGAAGGATTTCGGCATACGCGCGCGACGACGCGAGCGTCTGCACTTCGTCCCGTTTTTTGCAGAGGATTCTTGGGGACGGCAAACGCGCAAGGGCGTTCGACAGATTCCGACATGCGCGCGCGAAGCCCGTTTGGTAGCATTTTATAAAAATCTTGAACAACCATGGTTTTCTTAAGATTTCGCAAGAGCTCGCGCGGAAGCTTTTTTAGCGAATCAGTGTTGCGAAACCATGTGTGTTTTGCATGTTTTGGGGGAACTCGACTGCGACATCCTTCCGACACCTGAGGTTTTTGAAGGATTCGGGCATGCGCGCGCGACAACGCGCGCGTGTGCACTTCGTCCCGTTTGTCGGAAGGGATTCGCAGAAAAAGTGTTATGTTACACCAAAAGATGTCCCCGCGTATCGTCTTTCACAAGGGAACCTCAGGGGGGGCGATACTGGCCCCCCCAGAGATAGTGTAAATTCATATTAAGGAAAGGCCAGTGGTCATAATCATATATGATTTACATACCCGAAAGGGGGGGATAACGCCGGGGGGGGTAGAGTCTATTCTGTTTTTTAGAAAGGAGAATCTGCGTGGTGCAATCTTCGGTGCAGTCTTTGCGGCGCAATTTCTGCGGTGCAATCTTTGCGGCGCCATCTTTGCGGTGCAATCTGCGAGGTGGCGCCGGGGCGGCGACGGCGACAACCTAGCCGCCAGATTGGCACATAGGCCCAGACGACGGGTGGCGACGGGGCGGCGGCAGCGACGTCATAGCCGCGAGACCATCAGACAGGTCCAGTTCTTCGGGGCAGAAGTAGGAATCCCAGAGCCCTGAGTGCAATCGTGGTTTGGGGAAACAGCATAATCCAGCAGTGGCGAAGCGTCCTGACCTGCCCATGAGCTCACCAAGCAACTGTCTAGGATCATGTTGGCATGGCGTGTATACGAGACGTTATCATGACCTGTCTGCCTGGGGCAGCACTGTGTTAACGCGTCGCTTTCCAGATCTGTCCTGAGAGCACTGTTTTTTCTCAGAGCGCTCATTTCGTTGCAAGCACATTTCGCGGCATGCGTATTATAGGAGTGCCAGGACGGTCGGCCCCTGCTCAACTCAAACTTTCGGGGGTCCGCACGGATTCTGTTGGATCCGCGCCAGAGGCGCTGCCAGGGGCGCCCAGCGCCCATCAAAGAAGTCCGCGCGGAGCTCCGAGAGTTCCTCATGTTCACGCATGGGTGGCCCTCGTGTGAGGAGCGCCAACGACGCGGCCTGCCTGGTTTTCCTGATCCAGGAGCTGCGCAAGCTCCACCGCACGGTGGGGGGCGAGCGGTACGGGGAGCTCCAGCGGGACCTCCTGCAGCGCGTGGTGGAGTCCTGGAACCAGCTGCCGGGGGAGGCGCAGGCTCCCGGGCAACGCGGGGGGGGGGGATAGGCTCGGGTGGGGGGCGAGCGGAGTTTCGGGTTCGGGGTTCGAGATGCTCGGACGTTGTGCCTAGATTGGCGCCTTCCAGCAGCAGCACCTCGCCGAGAGCGTCCCGGGGCTGCCCGGAGCGTCCCGAACGAACGCCCCGAAGACCAATGGGCAACGTGCTCGAGGGGGAAGCGCATCAACCCCCAATCGCCCACTCATCGCCGATGGGGGCCTGACAAACCACCCCTCCTCTGGAACGTTACGTTTTGCCCTCGGGGACCCATCGCCGATTTATCGGCGATGTATCACCGATTCAAGCTCGATGTTCCCCCGTAAGCCTGTCCCCTGCTGGCGTTCGGGTCATAGTTCGGGCCTCCGGCGGCCGTTCGGGACGATGTGGGACCCCGTGGAACGGTCTCGGCGAAGCGCAGCCGCTGGAAGGCAGCCAGAGGCTGGACAGCCGCCGAGACACAACGAAAGCGACCGAACACCTCGAACCTCGAACCTCGAAACTTGGCTTCCGCCCCACCGGTCCCCCCCGAGGCGGCCATCCTGGACGAGGAGTTCGTGGACCTATCGCCCGAGGCAGACGGCGGGGAGCTGCCCGAGACGGTGTTCGCGCTGCGGCCGTTCAGACTGCAGAGCGCGGGGCGTCTGTTCCGGCTCGGCGAGCTGGTGTCGCGCTCCGGCGACACGGACCCGTGCCTGAGCCTCAGAGGAGGGGATGGTACATTGATGCCGCTGCTCGTCCTGGAGAGGCCTCGGCACCACGGCCGCATTCTCCTCGAAACCCTGGTCAGGGCGCACCCCGGGAGAGGTCCAGGGAGAAGGGGCATCCGAACGGCTTTGCCCTCCCCCAGTATACCGTCGGACCGAGGCATACGATCGAGGTCGATTCAGGGAGGGTGCCCCAGTGCTCTTCGTGCTTGTTGGCTGCTCTTTTCTGCATCCTGGGGAGGGTACCCTTATATGTTCTGTTTGCTTCTGGCCGGCGGACGGTCTCACGGGAGGAGGAGGAGCAGAACGAGGAGGAGGAGGAGGAGGAGGAGGAGGAGGAGGCGGGTGAGGAGGCGGAGGAGGCGGAGGAGGAGGAGGAGGCGGAGGAGGAGGAGGAGGAGAAGGAGGAGGCGGGTGAGGAGGCGGAGGAGGCGGAGGAGGAGGAGGAGGAGGAGGCTGGCCGAGGTCCGACTGTATACCCAGATCTCTGGAGGCATGGTTTTTCCCTTGCGGCGTGTTTGTTCTCTCCAGCCTCGGCCTCTGGGGTGAGGTCGCCCTCTGGCCCCCCGCGGGGCCACCAGATCTGGGCCTGTGCCACCCTTCTTGGCACCGCTTGGACCTCGGACGTGTTTTTTCTTGGCCAGGAACATCCAGGACCATCCAGGAGCATCCTGGCTCATCCTGCGAACAACAACAACAATAACTACTACTACTACTACTACTACTACTACTACTACTACTACTACTACTACTACTGCTACTACTATTGCTACTACTACTACTACTACTACTACTACTACTACTACTACTACTACTACTACTACTACTACTACTACTACTACTACTACTACTACTACTACTACTACTACTACTACTACTACTACTACTACTACTACTACTACTACTACTACTACTACTACTACTACTTACTACTACTACTACCCTACTAACTACTACCTACTACCTACTACCTACTACCTACTACTACTACCTACTACTACTACTACTACTACTACTACTACTACTACTACTACTACTACTACTACTACTACTACTACCTACTACTACACTACTACTACTACCTACTACTACCTACTACTACCTACTACTACCTACTACTACCTACTACTACTACTACTACTACTACTACTACTACTACTACTACTACTTCTACGACTACTACGACTACGACTACGACTACGACTACTACGACTACTACACTACTACTACTACCACTACTACTACTACTACTACTACTACTACTACTACTACTACTACTACTACTACTACTACTACTACTACTACTACTACCTACTACCTACTACCTACTACCTACTACCTACTACCTACTACCTACTACCTACCTACTACTACTACTACTACTACTACTACTACTACTACTACTACTACTACTACTACTGACTACTACTACTACTGACTACTACTACTACTGACTACTACTACTACTACTACTACTACTACTACTACTACTACTACTACTACTAACTACTACTACTACTACTACTACTACTATTAATTACTACTACTACTACTACTACTACTACTCTACGACTATCTACTGCTGCTGCTGCTGCTACTACTACTACTACTACTACCACTGCTTACTACTGCTACTACTGCCTACGACTGCCTACGACTGCTACTACTACTACTACTACTAATACTACTACTACTACTACTACCTACTAACTAACTACTACACTATACTACTACTGAGTACTCTCTACTAACTACTACTACTACTACTACTACTAACTACTACTACTCTAACTACTACTACTACTCGGCTGCTGCTGCTGCGCTGCTGCTACTGCTACTGCTACTAACTGCGACTCTACGACTACTACGACTACTACAGCTACTACGACTACTACGACTACGACACTAATACTATTTTTTAGGGTTTGTTATCTACTACTATTTTTTAATTTTTTCCTACTACTACTACTACTACTACTACTACTACTACTACTACTACTACTACTACTACTACTACTACTACTACTACTACTACTACTACTACTACTACTACTACTACTACTACTACTACTACTACTACTACTACTACTACTACTACTACTACTACTACTACTACTACTACTACTACTACTACTACTACTACTACTACTACTACTACTACTACTACTACTACTACTAAGTCGCGCAAGACACCGAAACTGCACGGGGGAATGCACGTCCGAGCGATGGGGTCAGGACCTTCGCTGATGTTGACGACGCTCGAGTTTATGTGTGGTCGTTTTTACATGTTCGGTTTTCGGCCAACCAAAAAGGGAGGAAACACTTGCAGCCCAAATCAAAAGAAGCAGAAACGACCGAAAGCAGGTGCAGACCAAAACAGAAGTGAAAACAAGGCGGTGCAAAATGGAACCGAACCGAGAACGGCGCGAACGAGAATCCCAGAACGACGAAAGCGAAAACGGAGCCCCAAACGGAAAAACAACGGAACCACACAACAAGAACAAATCGAAGAGCACAAAAAACAGCAAAAAACGATGCGTCGACCTTGTAGCCTGCGGAGAATTTCCCCCCCCTGACCTCGTGGCGCGGGTCGCCAAAAATGTCAGTCCTTCCGATCTCTGGGCAGGTACCTGTGCTGGACCAGCCTGCCGCTGTGCCCACGGGGCTTCCCCGCCTTCCCCGGCTACAGGCGGCCCGCGCTGGACCACGTCATCGCGCACGCCCGGGCGCTGGGGGAGATCGCCGACGCCAGCTCGGCACTCGGGGGCAACGATAGGGGGGATGGGCACAGGAGGGGATGCCTCGACCCCCACTCGCCCATTGCTCGCCGATGGGGGCCTGATCGCCCGGGCCCCACCCCGCCCAGGAAGGTGCGGATTCACGAGCGAGGGCTTGTCGCCGATCTATCGACGATGTATCGCCGATTCCAGGTCGATGCATGATGCATCCCCCCTTTGCATATCCCCTCCTATCGTTGCCCCTCAGGTATCCTGCCACCTCTGGCCGGAGACCGGAGAAGAAACGGTGGCATTAGAGTGGAGGTCCGTGACAAGAAGCGCCCTGCTTGCCTCCAGGGTGCCCTGGGCTTCCTGGGTTTCGACGGTCTTGCCGTGGAAGAAGCGCGGCGTTCCCACACCAGAAATCAGTGGACGTCCTGGGGCCTCAGGGTCAGGTTTCTTTGCGAGAGGTTTCCTGTGGGCTGGCCTCCGCTGTACGGTTGGGAACTCGCGGCCTGGCGTGTCGCGCCGCCGGTCCTGGCCCCTCCGCGCTCCGGAGCTGCACGCAGTGCACCTCTCTAGGCCTCCCTGGATGGGGTCGGAGCGGATGGGGTCGGAGGATCGCGCCGCATCGCCGATGCATCGCCGGATGCGGGTCGACGTGGAACCCGATCTGCTTCACGGCGGCGTCGGCGATGAATCGCCCACGTCGGCGGTGCATCGCCGGTGCATCGCCGGTGCATCGCCGATGCATCGGCGATGCGGCGCCGATCCCCGGACCGCATCTACTCCGGCCCCCCCTGGGAGGCCTCTAGCTTCCCAGTCCCCAGGCCTCGGCGCCTCGAGCCTTCTGCCGAGCGCCCTGCCCCGCGGAGCAGCGCGGCGCGCCATGCGCCTGCAAGGCACAGCGTGTCGTCGGGGCCGCCGCCGCGGCACGCTCAGCTCAAGTCGTGCATGATGTCCCTCTGCAGGATGGATGCTCAAAGACACTCCGCAACATAGCCTATAGTGACGATATTTCTGCCATGTTCGCCCATTTGGGGGGGCACTTCTTCGCCACCTTTTTTTATTGTCCTTCCAAAATCCGCGTGTGGGAGGACATGCCCGACCTCACGCTGAGCAGCACGCTCCCGACCGTGGGCAGACACCGGGCGAGGTCCGCGCGGGCCTCCCGGGTCGGCGCCGGGCCCTCCTCCCTGGGCGCGCGGCGCCGGAGGCGCCGCGCAGGGCGGCGCGCACCGCCGCGGCTCCGAGGCGCCCGCGCGGACCTCCGGAGGTGTGTGCCGTGCGGAGGCCGCTTCTGCTGCTTCCTTAGGGGGCCACATGCGAATCCGACCCCTACCCCCCACGATTTCTGAGGGGGAGGGTGGGGTTCACTTCGCTCGGGAGCTCCCCGAACGAAGTGAACCCCACCCTCCCCCTCAAAAGTCTTGGTGGGTAAGGGCAGGGTTCGCATGTGGCCCCCTATTCCTCCCCAGGAGATCCGGGAGCGGGTCGTCGTGCCCAGCCCGGAGGGGGGCCAGCCGAGACCGCTGCGGCTCTCCTGAGGCCCCCGGCCCTCCGGGGCAACGACAGGGGGGGGGGATGGGCACCGGGGGGGGGGGGGGGCGTATCGAGCCCCAATGGCCCCCGTTGATCGCGGATGGGGGGCCGGATAGCCCCCACCTGCCCAGGAACGTGCCGGTGCACCAGCGGGGCCTGTCGCCGACCCACTGGCGATGCGTCGCCGATTCCAGGTCGGCGGTTCCCCCCCCCAATGCCTACCTCCCCCCTTATCCCAGACCCCCCCCGACGTCATGATTTTTTCATGCCGTCGACCCCCAGCGGTCTGGGCCCATTCCCCGGGACCGGTTCTTTCATAACTCTGGGGGGTCTGGGATATCGTTGCCCGTCTGGCCCAGATCCGCCCAGAGTCGGTCCCTCGACCCCTCCCGGGGCCCATGCGGAGCCGCTCCTCGCGGGGCGGCTCCAGCCGCGGCGGCCGAAGAGGCCTCCATGCAGGAGGGAGAGGAGGGAGGAGGGAGGAGGGAGGAGGGGAGGAGGGAGGAGGAGGAGGAGGAGGAGGAGGAGGTGGAGGAGAGGAGGAAGAGGAGGAGGAGGAGGAGGAGGAGGAGGAGGGAGGAGGAGGAGAGGAGGAGGAGGAGGAGGAGGAGGAGGAGGAGGAGGAGGAGGGAGGAGGGAGCAGGGAGGAGGGAGGAGGAGCGCCAGCAGCGAGCCCAGAGAGCCGACGTCGCGACGACGAAGTTGCACCACAACCTCGCGAGAAAACTCGAACTGGCACCTGGGCCCGGACCCCTGGAGTCATGGAACGATCACGACGGGAGTTTTGTTCTCTATGTTCGGCCTGGGGGCCCTTGCCGGCGCTCCAGGCCGAACAAAAAGACTGGACGAAAAAACCGTCCCGGGGAATGGGCCCGGACCGCTGGGGGTCCGCGTCATGGAGAATTATGGCGTCGGGGGTCTAGGGACCCTATTTCTGTTGCGTTTTTGGAGAAGGGGTCGGTCCGTGAGGATCCAGGAGCCCGAGAGAAAGCCAAACCTTGGGCGTCGCGTAATGGGGGGGGCGATCAATTGGGGAACGGCGAGGGCTGCAGAAAAGGAGCTCGTCAGGGACCCTGAAGGGGCCGCTCAGGGCCCAAAAGGTGGCCTCCAGGGCCCGAAAAGTGCACCCTTCTCATCCCCCCTTCGGCAGCCGGCATCCAGACTGGAGACGTCGTGTAGTAGACGCTGGTCGGTGCTTCGCGAGTTCCCTTCCCTTCCCTGTCCCCCCCCCTCTCCAAAAAATGGCGCCGAGACAAAAACTCTCTCCCTCCCCCCCCTGTCTTCCGCCCCCTCCGTAGGTAAGCGACGCCCAACATCAAAACGCCCGTGGCGCCTAGAAGTTGCGACACCAGGACCTCAGGGACAACGATGACAACGACCACAACGACGAACGACAACGATCACAACGATCACAATGACAACCATCACAACGACGGCGATCACAGCGATCAGCAACGACACAACGATCACAACGGTAACCACGACAACGATCACAGCGATAACATCGATAACAGCGACCACGATGCTCACCGCGATCAGCGACCACAACGACAGCGACGCCAACGATCGGAGGGCGGCCGCCGTCTCCGCCGGCTCGCCCTCCCGCCCCCCGTCTGCGCCTTCCTGGCCGACAGCCAGCCCTTCGCCGGCGTGCTGGCGGCCGGCGCGGCCGCGGCCACCGCCGCGGCGGAGGGCCCCGCGGGCGAGCAGGCGGAGCAGCCGCCCAGCACGCCCGAGGACTCGAGTGGGGCTGAAGGGGCCCCAGGACACACAAATAAATACACACAAATAAAAAGAGTCCCCATATTTTCCCATCTTTTCTGGGTTTCTGTCTTCCCCCCCACTTCCCATATTTTCCCATATTTCCCTGGGAGTCGACGATTAATTGTGTCTGTGTGTTTTCTTTCCTCCTGAGGGGATGGACTGCAGATTCTTGGCATCGCTCGGACGTGTGTGCATTTTTCCTTCGGCGAGGGCCATGGAGGAGCATCCTTGCTCATTTGGCGCAGAAGCCACGCACGAGACCGGAAAAAAACACAGGAAAGGGACGTCCGAGCGATGGCGAGGGTTTGACTTGCCCCAGACTTTGTTGTCTTCGCCGAGTCCATGAGACATGCGAAGCACGTCTTCTTGATGCAGATCCGACGGGGCAATCGAGTTTGGGGCTCATCGTAAGACGGGCATGTCCCTCTACGGGGAAAATTCAAAAATAGTAAAAAAAAATGTCTGGGGACTATTTGAGTATTTTGGGGCATATTTTGAGCATTTTTGGCGTATTTTTTTATTTTTCGTCGAAAATCCCCCTGTAGGGGGACAGGCCCGACCTAAGGCTAATCAGTTCTGCAGTCGATTCCCGACGCTCGAAGGACGGCGCGGTGGCGCAGGCGCGGGCGCGCATCTGCTCCGCCCTGCGGCGCACGAAGTTCCTGGCCCTGCCGGCCGAGGCCTCGGGAGGGGGGGAGGCGGGGGGGCACCGGTGCCGCTGCTCGCTCTGCGGAGCTTCGGTCGTCGCCACGGCCAGAAGGCACCCCGGGAGGGCGGCCTTAAGTCGGGCGTGTCCCTCTACAAATAGTGTGGGGACGATATTCGGAGCATTTCTGAGCATTGTCGCATGTTCCTGGAGAATGTTTTAGCCTAAAATCCGCCTGTACGAGGACATGCCCGACCTAAGGGGAGCCTCGGTACCCTGTGGCATAGCTGCTGGTTTGCCCGAGGACGCCGGCAGCGAGGACGGCCCCCACGTGCTGGTCGCGCCGTGGAGGATGGCGCACATGTGGAGAACGCCCGCCCACCCAGAGAGGGAGGAGGAGGAGGAGGAGGAGGAGGAGGAGGAGGAGGAGGAGGACGAGGAGGAGGACGGAGGACGGGACGGAGGAGGGAGGAGGAGGAGGAGGAGGAGGAGGCAGAGGAGGAGGAGGAGGAGGAGGACGGAGGAGGAGGAGGAGGAGGAGGAGGAGGGGGAGTCGACCGAGGGCATCGAGCTCCAGCTCGCTCGACATCTGGCGTGGCGCTCGGCCGTGCCGGCGGAGTCCTTGGTCGATGTTTCGCTGGTCGGCGCGCGTCTCGCTGGAAGCGCTCGCCGGTTGATGGGCGTCGATTGGCTAACTTCCGCGCGCGGACGGCTCTCCGCATGTGATGCCGCGCGGGCCCGCGGAGTGCCCCACCCCCCCCCTCGGCAGCTTGCGCTCAAGGGGTGCTGCCAAAGTCAAGTCAAGCAGTGGCGAAGCGTCCTGGCCTGCTTATGGGCTGTGGGCCCACCAAAGACTGTTCTGAGAACTTCCTGTGGTTTGCACGACATGTTCTCAGAACATTTCTGGCTGGGACTGCCTTGCTTTAGCACACCAGTGCTATGTTCTAAGAACTTTGCTTTTGTTTTTCGAACACTTGGGGGGGGGTCTAAGAATCTTTCGTGGTAGGCATGTAGGAATGCCGGGACGGTCGGTCCTTGCTTAACAAAGGGGTTTCTGTCCACCCCCGAGAGGATCTCGGTGGTGCTGAAGGAGCATCGGCCGCCGATGTTCGCGCTGCCGCCCTATCTTCAGGATCACGTGCCCCTCCTGCGCCTGCTGGGCGTGAGGGACGCGCTGGAGCTCCCCCAGGGGGAGGCGGGTCCCGCAGACAGCCAGGCCGTCGCTGCCCTGTGTCAGTCCCAGAGGTGGCTGTTCGAGCACGGCGCGGAGAGCTTCGCCGACGTCACAGTGCGGTGCGACGGCGGGAGCCTGTTCCTGCACCGGAACGTGCTGATGGCGAGGACCTTGGGCGTCGCGTGATGGGGGGGCGACAAATAGGGGGCAGCGAGGAGGCCCTCCAGGGCCCCTCGAGGGGCCCTAAAGGGCCCCAGAGGGAGCTCTCAGGGCCCGAAGAAAGGGCACTTGTTTGACACTCCCACCTGTCGCACCCCCCCCCCCTTGAGCGACGCCGAAGGAACGACTACTATCGCGCCATGTTCGCCGGGGCCGGGGGCGGCTTCCTCGAGGCGCGGGACGGCGGCGCGGAGGTGCACCTGTACCACGCGCCCCTGGAGGTCGCCAGAGTCCTGTTCGGCTACCTCTACCACGGGCAGGTCGAGGAGGGCCCCCTGGAAGGCCCCGACGGGGCGTACAACTCGGTAGAGCTGCTGAAGCTCTCCGACGAGCTCTGCGTTCCGCAGCTCTTCGAGTACGCCCAGATGTGGGTAGCCAACCAGCAGGACCTGGATGACTGCACCGACACCCTCGCCATCGCCGCGAGGCACGGCGCTCAGCTGCTGGAGCGGGCCACGCTCGCGCTCATGGCCGCCAACCTGGACGCCCCGGAGGTAGACCGGCAGATTCCAGGGCTCTCGCCAGAGCGCAGAGCTCAGTTGCAGGAGCTCGTTCAGCGGCCGAGGCAGCAGGCTGGCATCACCGGGCGCTGAGCAGGGGCAGGCCAGCCCTCGCTGCGCCCGCGCTCGGCGCCAGACGCGGGTGGCCAGCTGGCTGCCGTTGGCAGCCGCCAGTCCAGGCCGCCTCCCTGAGGGGCCGCCTCCGACCGCGGCTGGCTAGCGGCCACCTCTCACACTGCCGCTTGTCCTAGGGCCCGGTCAGAAGAACAGGATCGCCATCTGATTGTGCAGCCCTAGTAGCGCAAGCTGGCCAAAGCGCAGTCCCCTCGCCCCTTACCCCTCACGTAAGACCACCGTGCCTGGAATGTCATGGCAGTGTCTGAAGCTGTCAGAGATTATTTGAGGCGTGCGGACGCGTTATTATGCCATATGTCTTGTGCAAACCTTGAAGAGCAGGTAACCACAAGCACCGCGATGAACAGCTATTACGGGCTCAGGCTCACCGCGATGAACTCCGAATAATCTATATCACGCAACCACAAACTTCAATTACCTTCTACGCATCGGGGCTCAGGGCCCCAAGAGGCCCCTGGGAGGCCCCCAAATTGGGGCCCCACGATGGCCGTGACATGGTCCAGCAGGGCGCGTCGGTGTCGCCGATATGCACCCCATTGGGGCCTCAATTAAGGTCTGGTCCAGGACGGCGGGAACCAGACCTTCCAACTGCATCCGAGGTGCCCGCAAGTGGGCCCCAACTGGTTACAAGACGGCCCGCGAGGGCCACGATGCGGCGTTGAGGTGTCTCCGAGGTGGCCCCAGCGGCACCGAGCTGCCCCCCAGAGGGTGCGAAGAAAGGCCTGGCCCTGGCCAGGAGGAACTAGACCTTCCGAGCGCCGCAGTGGGGCGCCCAAGAATGCCTCGAGAGTGCCCCGAGGTGGCCCAGCAAGGCGTCGCGGCGTGCCCGAGATGCACCCCAAGAGGGCCCCAGGATGACCTTCCGCCTGCCGCCGGGGTGCCCGCGGGTGGGCCCCCCACCATGGCTTCCAGCTGCCCCAGTGGGGCCCCCAACGCGCCTCCTCCTCCTCCCCCATCTCCTCCTCCTCCTCCTCCTCCTCCTCCTCCTCCTCCTCCTCCTCCTCTTCCTCCTACTTCCTTCCTCCTCCTCCTCTCCTCCTCTTTCTCCTACTCTTCCTCCTCGTCCTCCTCCTCCTCCTCCTCCTCCTCCTCCTCTCCTCCCTCCTCCCTCCTCCTCCTCCTCCTCTGCCTCTGCCTCGTCCTCCTCCTCCTCCTTCTTCCTCCTCCTCCTCCTCCTCTTCCTGTTCCTCCACCCCTGGACCATCTCGCCACTCCCTCCAGGGAGAACATGGCAGGGAGCCTCCTTGGGGGCGCCCAGGGGGCCCTGGCTATTCACACAATCGCACACGTAAACCTGCGTCTCTGACAGGGGTGGATGTGTAGACCGCCGCGCTTGCTTCGGCGCGGCGGGCTGGCAACTCACCCTGGGAGGGCCGCTGGCTGGGAGCATTCGCCCGTCCCCGCCCCGCCCCCCCTCTCCCAAGGGGTGCCTGCCAAGCCGGCGACCATACAGTGGGGGCCCATGCCAAGAAACACCATATTTGCCTCCAGGGAGCCCTGGATGTATTGGGTTTCGATGGTTCTGCTAGCGCGACGCTCCCGCACCAAAAGTCGATGGACGTCCTGGGGTGTCAGGGTTGGGGTTCTTGTGGGAGGTCTCCTGTGGTCGGGCCTCCACTGGTGGAGGGTTTGCATGACCTGTGGGCCCTCTGCCGCTCCGAGATGGGACCCCACGGAGGCCGGGCCCCGAGAGGGTCGTGCCTCCCGCGGGACCTCTATGCCTATCGCCCCCCCCCTCCCCCCTCTCCCCCGCCACGCCTCGTCATCCGCCGCCCCCGCCCCTCCTCGCCCTCTGCCTCCGAAGGCCCCCGCGAATGTGTGTTTGAATGGCGGTGATTGCGGTAGGGGTACTCGGAGGAGGAAAAGGTAGGTATCCGTACCGCTACCCTTCGCCCGTTTTCCCTTTTCTGGGCCTACTGGGAGGTCCTCGTCGCCACGGCTGGATGTGCCTCGAAATTCTGGTCAGAACGCACTCGGTGAGAGGTCCAGAGAGTAGCCGTATCGGTACCTTTTGGTCTCCACAGGTACATTATGTTCATCGCGGTATTCGCGGTACGGTCGAGCGTAAACGAAATTTGGTTGATGTCCCCCCAGCATACAGTTACAAATATTGTAATGCCACGTTGTTGCGAGACATCCGACTTGCCGAAACGGTTTCTTACAGCAATCAACCAGTCGCGTTGTTACGCTTTGGGGGGAGGGGGGCGTAAATTGAATTCCGTCTACGCTTGCCCGATTGCAGCAATTGCCGCGATTACCAGAGTGACGCCTGCCGCCATGACCGCGATTCCCAGACCATTCTGGCGGGCCCCTCGGAGTGGAAGGGAGGGGGGAGGGCTGGGCTGGGCGTTTGGCTCCGCCCCCCCCCCCCGGCGTGTTATCGAGGCGTGTCGGACTCACGATGCGCTATGGCTTTGTCGAGGGGGGATGGGAGTAGTGAGGGAGGGGGGAGGAGGAGGAGGAGAAGGAGGAGGAGGAGGAGGAGGAGGAGGAGGAGGAGGAGGAGGAGGATGAGGAGGAGGAGGAGGAGGCGGATGAGAAGGAGGCGGAGGAGGAGGCGGGGGCGGAGGCGGAGGAGGGGGCTAGACTCGACCCAAAAGGGTCTTGCACACGAATTCGACCCTCGGGACCCCCCAAACCTCCCAGACTCAACCCCAGCACGGCTCGGCCGCGCCAGGGTCCATGCTTAAGAGGTCAAGGGGGTCCTCGGGGCCCGACACACCACGGGCCCTACGGGCCTGGGCCTCCGCCCTGGCCTCCAGAGCTCTCAACCCCAACCGCTGGGCATCGGCCAGCTGAAGCCCGAAAGAAGGCAAGACTTCCAGGACGCTGGGCCTCTTAGGGCCAACCGTCGGGGCACCCGTTTGGGCCACCGCTGGAGGCTCGGGGGGAAAATGCCCAGTCCAAAACTCGATCTCGGACTCTAAGGGCGACCGCAAGCTCCCAAGAAGCCTGTTCCCTTTGGGGTGCTTCAAGTGCTTTAATGTGGAATTATTATTTTTGGCACTGGGGATCGGGCCTCCTGGACACTTATCCTGGAGGCCTCGTCACCGTTTATCAGAAACATAACCTCGGCACGTTGTACAAAAGAGAAGACTGCCGCTGGACCGCTGGGCCGGTCGTGCATTTCCATCGACGAAAATGAGCGCCGCGAGCAAGATGTGCCCGCTGACGCGCCAAGGCTTCAGTCCAACGGGCACAACATCGGGCTCCGTCGGCGCGCTCCCCACTGTCACATGGGAGCTGGCCGCGGCCTCCAAGTCGGCACCCTCCACTTCGTCGTCGAACTCAGCTGGCCACTGCGGCCACTCTCCAAGGTCAATCAGTCTCAGTGCCCACGCCCATGGAGTCGAGCCTGTTGGTTCGCGAAATGTGCACCTCATGCGCGGCGGCGAACCGCGCCGCCTGACGCGCCAGCGCCTGGCAGCCCTCGACAGTGTGGATGTCATCGAGGCTCACCCTGGCCGCCGCCGCGCCCTGCTTGGCTCGCCTGTCAGCGCGAGCGTTGCCGTCCAACTCGAACTGCGAGATGAGGCCGTCTGCGACGGCCTTGGGGCCCAAGTGGGCCTTGATCTTGACCACCGTCACGTCCTGCAGCTGCTCGGCCTGGCCAGCCCACAAGTGCGCACGCTGGCTGCTGGCGGCGGCCGCCGCCAACGGGTTGGCCGCGCAGCGCACCGTGGCCATGCAGTCCACGTAGAGCCTGTAGCTGCCCCCTGCCACCTGGGCCGTGAGGACTTTCACGGCGTAGTCCTCGCCGTCCCTGGCCAGTTGCTCGGGGGCTTCCGCAATCGGAACTGCTCCCCACGCCTCTGCCACCAGCCTGCAGTCCGCATCAAAGACCACCACGGACCAGCCCGCGGTGCGCAGCCGCGGGTAGGCCTGGTCAAGGCCCGAGCCGTCCACAAAGACGTGATGCCCATTGAGGTGGGGCCCCAGCGTGTACCAGCTCGTCGAACTCTCGAAGCCGATCAGGCCTGTCCATCAATTCCGATACGTCCGGGAAAAGGCCCCTGGCGAAGAGGTCGGTGAAGGGATAGCCCAGGCTCTCGACTCGATCCGCGGCTCCGCGCAGCAGCTCCTCCAAGTAGTCACGCCTCCAGGCCTCATGAGCCTCACATCGAAAGCGCCTGTGGAAGAGCGAGCCGTCATGGTGCCCGCAGAGCTGGCAGTTGGACGGCACCGCGCGCGCGCTGTCAGCAGCTGCGACCCTGGCCTGGCACCGGAAGGTGTTCTGGATGAGGCTGCGCAGCGCCCGCTGGTGGTGCTGGTCCCAAACCTCAGACCGATGACTGGCAAGATCCAGGATCGGTTGCCAGAAGGGCGGAATGCTCCAGCCCCACATGCTGGGGCCCTGCCTGGCCACCTCCTCCAGCCCAATGGCGACACGGCAATGATGCGCCACAAGACTGCCAAAGAAGGCAGGAGAATGCCTCCTAACGTCGTATGCGGCTCCCGTGCTGTCATGGACCAGGTAGGGGTCGCCTTGTATGAAGCCCCAGCCGACACGCTCCAAGGTGAGGACCAACG